CTTTTCAACCCAGGCCATTCTATGATACTGAAGATGTATGTGACTTTCTTTCCTAGGGATGCTTGGAGTGCCTTGGGAGACATGTCCAAAGAAGAAGCCATGATAGCCTATGTTGAAGAAATGAAAAAGGTAAGTTTACTAATGAGTGGAAGGCATCTTCTAGAACAAATGTTCCAGAAATAAATTGAGGAACATGAGATGATTCTTGCTGACTACTACTTGTCAAAGCTCCAAATGAGTTATTCCCTATGTGAACTGTTACATTTCAGTACTATGCTGTTTGGCCCACAGGGAGAGGAAAATTACGTAGTTCCTTCCAAAGCTGTAGAATTTGGGTTGTTTTCAGAGAAACATGAAAGCTCTAGCTGATATGAAGCTTAAGTGACAGAGCTAAAGAAAGTGAAGTATTGAAATAATGGCAAAGGGGGCAGTGGGGAAAACAGTGGAACTTAAAGTACAAGAAAAGAAAAGCTGGTTTACTGCAAACTGCCTTGGTTCTCAGAGTTGAGAGAGGTAGGTGATCCTTATCTTGGAAAGGAAAAAAACAACCCTCCAGAAGGACTTCAGGAGCAAGAGTCTCACTCTCATGACTGGAGACATGAGTATAATCAAATATAATCATCTTTGATTTTTCAAGAACTGAGCAACCTGAATTTTCTGTGTTTCTTGTCAAAGTATTCCTTGTGTATTATAGTTGCAGTCAAACAGAATGGAGTAATTTGATCTCTCTTTTTTGGAATAGATGTGTAACTTGTAAACAGTCGTAGTTACTATATTAAGCAGGAATTGCAGCATTAAGTAAAGTAAACATTCAGAATTAAAGTTTCTTGTTTCTTATTAACTAAGACTTTTTACTGTAGTCTTTTCACTAAAGCTCTTCTAGGCGGCCTTTCCAGTTTAAAGATTATTTACTGTCAATCCAGCTAAAAGTATAATTGTACTCTATTACTATAATGAGGTTAGCATCAAGGAGAGAAGACATAAGTTCTACTCCAAATACACTTGCTTTTCTCCTAGGTCACTATTTTGACATTTAACTCGTAACATGTTTAATGAACGATACAATAAAAACTAGGCAAGGAGCTGGAGTCTGACTACTGTTCTTTTTCCTTTCTGTAATTTTGGGAATTTAGTTCGTGCTGGTATTACTGTGGCTGCTTTGAAATTGAACATAACTCCAGAAAACATAGGAGGCCACATATTATTCATTTTGTCAAAAATCCCACTACATTTTAATAACTCCTTTTGATTGCATACCACGAGATTTAGTGCTTCATTTCAAATCTTGGATTCAAAATTTGTTAATACTTCAGTAGAGTACCTTATTTCTTTTTAAACACAGTAATTGGTTTGGTCCGGACACTAAAACTAAGTGAAACTGCAGTGTTTGTTCTAAAAAAACCCTAGTAAGTCTAGTCTTTGTAGAAGTAAGTCTACTTGACCCTAATGAAGAACAAATATACCTTACAGATTACATGTAGGGAGGGATTGGAGAGCAAATGACTTCTTGTCTTGCTCAGCTTTGAAACTGGTGAATCTGTTTACCTTGCTTTGGTGCTGCTTCAGCTCTCACATTTGAAATACTAGCTTCAGCTTTTCCAACCGGATTGATTCTACTTGAAATGTCAACGGAGGTGCATTTCAAATGGATCCACCGGGTTGTTCTGTCAGCGCATACTGCACTAATCCTGGTGGTGTTACAGTGGGCATTCTGCTGTTGCTGCATTGCTATCCATGTCTAAGGGGGCAAAAAGCCCACTTGTATACCGATACCACAGGACTGTGTTTAAGGGTGTATAAGATTGTCATATTCTCCCTCTGCCCTCAAGCAACATCTCTAGCATTTGCACATTGTGTTTGGGCTATATGTGCATCAGATGACCCTGTCACAAGATGCTTTAAGAGAAACTGTGTAGTAAGATTCTAAGAATTGCTCCAAGTTGCAGAGAGTGTATTGAGGTCTGTTTAGATGAAGACCAGTTATGTACAGACATCATAGAAGTGCACGTATGAAACCATTACAGTGCAGACTATAGAAGTAAATACATAGCAAGTGCAAGTGTGTTATTCTACAATAGGTTTCTTGTTTCTCTCAGTGCTATTGAAGTTAAAAAACCCAACCAAACAAAAACCCAAAACAAACCCCAAACCACAGAATTGTCCTTCTTCATATCCAGCTCCATATTTGAGCACTGACCATTTCTCTCTAACAAATATAGAATAAATTTTATGCACAGAATAGATCAGAGAAGTGGCAATGAAACTGCAGTTGGATAGGATCGTCATCTCTTGGTATTGATTGGCTTGCAAGGGTTGACTTGTTATCTGCTCACCTGCCTGGAGCTCCTGCTTTGTGAAGTAATGCTGTAGCTTTTGCTCCTATTGCTTAGTGATGTACTTGGTGCTTTTGAGCAGCATGTTCTGTGGTAACTTGTACCTCCATCTGTTGCTTTCTCGGTACTCTTCTGGGGGAGGAGGTGGAATGTAGCTGTAGGTTTGCTTCTACCTGAGTCTTTTTGTATAGCAGTTGCCTCTTTTAAAAATTATAATAAAAAAGTAGAGGATGAAAGAGGAGTAAAGCTATTGTCAAAAAGCTTGGTTGAAAGGACTTAAACTAGAATGGGACAATAACATAATATGCTTTAAAAACAATATTCAATTATTGAATCTCTTCTGTTTAATGTATTTTAGATTAAAGATTTTGCATTCCTATTAGATGATCAAAGGTATTGGTTTTGTAATTTAAAATGAAGAACTTTTTATGAAAGCAAGAGCTCCAAAAGACTTGAAGAGCAGAATTTGGTTGTAGTTTGCTCTGCAAAGTATGTCTTTGCACTGTCCCAGTTTTGCTGTATTCTGTCCATTTTGTTGTTTGGGTTTAGATGGACCCAGTAGGGCACTTTTGATCTGCTCCTTACATTCCATTTGAAGATGGCAGGGTTTGACAAATGCAAAGAATCCTGCAAGAGAAATAGTTTTTTCAGTTTCATTTTCTCTGTGGGACTTGTCTATAAAATAAATTGTATCAGATAACAGCAGCCTGTTGAACTTTGAGTTGATTTTGTTTGAAATTGCTGAAATAATGGATTCCAAGGTCTACTAATACTGTGCTGAAGCAGTCCTTTAGTGGTGGCAAATGCATTAGCTCTCCCATCTTCTCTTCACCTAAACAAGGTTAATACAGCTAGTTGAGATTCTTGTTTGGTAGATTAGGTTTATGTTGTTTTCGTTTAACAAAAATAAAAAATAATTAGAAAATCAGAATAACATGTTAAGTGATATAATGAAAACTTACAGAGTTTCACAATGACCAGCAGTTTCTAAAATTAGTTGAAATGAATGAATCATTGAAATGCTGTTTCATAAGATGCTTCATATTTTGGACTTGTGCAGATTCTTGAGAGTATGCCAATGACGGACAAAGTTGAAGAATTACTACAAGTAATAGGCCCGTTCTATGAAATAGTAGAAGATAAAAAGAACAGAGGATCTGACCTAACTGCAGGTTCGGACAAATAACTTCCTTTGTACTACTAATAATCACAACTCCAGATTTGTTGGGGCTTGTTTTCTATAAATGATTTTGAAGCTAAATGTTGCATCTTTCTCTTCATTCTCTTTACCATATGGCAGTTCGAATGGAGAAAGTCTCTAAGTATTTGGAAGGTAGGAATAATAAATTATGTGTAAGTCCATCTTTTCCATTGTTTTGGTGCTG